TATAACTGTATGTATGTTTAAGCGTGTAAGATAGATAACCATATCACTAAGTTTTCATGGGATCATTGAACAGAGTGGTTTACACTTGTCAGTGTTTGACTGTCTACTTTCTATGCTTTGATTTTGTAACTTGAACAACTATTTCTAAGATGACAATGCATAATGTATCAACTAGCGATTTTTTTAGTGTTAATTTTTTTGAATTCTTTATTATTCTACCTTTTTTCTATTTTGTTTTTTCTTTCTTTAAATAAATAATATTAAAATTAAAATTAAAAAAATAAACTAGGAAGTACAGAAATAAATTGATTGGTTACAGCTAAAAAAAGAGTTGAGGATAGTTAGTAACTCTTTAAGCTTTTTTAGTTAGTGCCTGTTCAGAATTCACAAACTGTTGTACATTCGTCTTTATAGTTTGAGTGTGTCCTCATTTTTCATATAGAAAGTGTCATAACGAACGTTTTCATGTTTTTAAAAGATTATGAGGACTCAATCACTACACAGACATTTGAATTTGAACTTTTGGGTTTTACAAACAGGGCGCACATCTACATCCATTTCTGTAGGCTTCACAAAAGCAATAAAAGGCTTCTCAACATAACAAAACATTATCTGTAGAATGTGCTTGGCAAGGCACACTCCCCAAATAGTATATGACAACGTGTTTTCACTTCCTTCTCACTAAACTATTAATGTTTAAAAATAAATACATATGATAGGCAATTAAAAAAAAAAAACCTTCACCTCACACACAACCAAACACCCCAAAATATAATTTGCATTTCTCTGCAAAGCTGGGTCTTTCCTGTTCATCTGCACCAATTGGTGTCAATTTTTAGGGTGTGCATGTTTCTATTTTACTTATTGCTGCTTTACAATTAAGATTTTATTTTTGTCTTGCTCTTAGTGACTTATGTGACTTTCCTGGATATTAATAATTGTCTGATATATTTGTTTTAGGTTCTCTCATTGGTTATGTTTTAATTTTGGCTCTCACTGAGGTTATTCAGATGAGAAGCCCAGTGATACGTCAATGTTGTGCTGATATTTTTCCTTCTGTTACTTCTTTACTGAGCACGTCTTCTACGTGCTGATCCAAATGTGTTTGTTATTTCATTTCCTGTTTTCTTTAGGTTTTATTTATTTATTACATTGACCTTTGACTCCCATTAAAACATTTTCTTCTGTGTATTGAGAGAACAGTAAAAAATGCATCTCCATTTGGTTTATCTGGCATCAGTTTTTTATTGAGTAATTGGTCTCTCATTTTTCCTTTGATTCCTGAATCCCCCCTGGTGCCTTACCCCATGGCCTCTGTACCCCAGGATGGGCTTCTGATAATTAATCTCACCCTAACCTTGTATCATATTTCAGAAAAATAAATTTTCCTTCTTTATCAGTTTAAAAAATTGTCTTACAAGTCATTTTTAGCACCCTGGGGTTCCTCTTAAATTTTCTTAAATTGGTTTTGCAGTTTAAAGTCATTAACATTATAAATGCTATTTTGAAAAATCTGAAAAGGCCCAAAACAATGAGAAATTAACAGAGAGAAAACATCTCTTCACCCACCGAGTCTGTCCTAAAATGACCCCAGTTTGGTTTGGTTTTGAGCACGCGCCTTTAGGCTCTCCATCATGATCAGGCTGGGAGCTTTGCATCACTGCTCCTCGTGGACCAAGACCTAGGGATACACATCAGGGCATGGTCCGTTCCCAACACGGAAAGATGTTTGATGTGGTTCATCACAGGACTGCGTTTCTTTAAGTTGAAACAACATCACCTTAATTTCTCTCAGCTTTCGATTTACATCTTTGGTGACATGGGAAACAACAGCCTAGATACATCTGTGCATCTTTATATTGCTTCTCTGATACACGGCATGACATCTTACTTTATTTGAAACATGATATAATAACTAACATGCCACAAATGGGTTGTTGGTAGCACAAGGCAGCTCACTGTAAGGACTCTGCCTTCTTATTTCCTAACGAGGAGCCAGTTCACTTCTTCAAACATACTACAAAGTGCAGTGCCATTTGCTTTTCAAATTTATTTCTGTATTTATTCAGCACTATCTCAGTGATAGGAGGTGCTCAGTAAACGTGTGTTGAACGGGTAAGGAAGAATGAAACATGCTACTTAAATAGGGACCCATGCAGAACGGCATATTATTAATAGCTGGGCTGGAGTTTTTAGAAGTGGCTGATGTAGGAACAAATGCACGCCTGTTACTCACAGCAAAACCTGGGAGATGAATCTGGCAGGCACAGGTGACGTGTGATTTATTCCTCCACACCCGCAGGAGATTTATGGGCATCTATTAACCTACTCGGATTCCAATTCAGGCTTAGCCTGGTCCTTTGTCATGATTAGCCATGTTGTCATTCTCAGTTAAATAATAGGTTGTCTGAACTGAAATATGCCAGAAATGTGAATGCAGACGGCCAAAATTATTATCCGTGTACACGTTCCAGTTAAGCTTTAGATATATCTCTGTCTGTGTGTAACAAAACTGAGACACACGCACACATCCACCCGAAAACAAAGGATTCCTTTCCTCAACCTGAGATCCACTGTTGTTGATGGAATTACGTTTCCAAAAAACGCCACACTGAACTGTAAACCTCTAGTAGCGCGCAGTGTTACGGTGTCTGCTGAAGTGCATGGTACGGGCCCATTAGGCTGAGTTCTAGCCCACTGTTATCTGTGGTTTGGAAGAAGAAATTTATAAAGTAGAAAAACAGTGAGAAAACCCAGGGGAAACAACCATCAATAAGCAAAGGGAAGAGCTGCAGAAGAAACCGACCCAGCGGCATCCTGCCCTAGACTTCTAATTCACAGAACTTCGAGAAAACAAATCCTCCCATTAAGTCTGCCATGCAGTCTGCCCTGGTTTTAGAGCACCGCTAGCAAATTAATACCTAAGAAATATAAATAATTAGCAAGAATATAATGTCCACGAACAACGTCATAGAATTATTCTGCTGTTTTCTGTATACTCAGTTTTGTAAATGATGAAGTGACTTACCTACTGCATGGAGCCTGATCTGACTTAATAATGCTAAAGAATCATCAAAGGATCTCATCAGATTGGCCAAAACTTCTAATTCATCCCTTCCTCAACGGGTTAGGACTTCAGACAATCAGTTGCCTACTATCTTAGTCTACTTTGTGTTGCTATAAGAAAGCACCGCTGGCCAGGTAACTTGTAAACTGCAAAGGTTAACTTGGTTCTTCATTCTGTAGCTGGAGGTTCCAAAGACCACAGTGATAGTAGCATCCTGCCTGGCCAGCGAGTATCATGGCAGCAAAGCAGAGAGAGAAGAGAAGAAGGATGTAAGAGATGGTAAGAAGCTGGGCTCAGTCTCCACATGAGGACTGGCCCTTGAAGAAAGGAACCCACGCTAACCAGACTGAGTCACTCCCGGGAGGCAGCACCCTCCCACGCACCACAGGAACTTCCAGGACTTTGGTGACCGCCCACCAGTCAGGCCAACTTTTTTAGAGCTTAAACTCAACACAGATGTGTGGAGATGCAGATTCCAGTGCAGGCAGCTCTGGAGCAAAGCACTGGGCTCCAAAGCACCTCCTGCCACAGGCTGGTCCCCTCAGTGACAAAGGCAACTTAGCACAGCGTGAGAACCCGCAGGACCTCAGGCGCATATCAGGCTGTGGAAAAGTAGCTCCTTCTCTTCCTCTTGTGGCATCAATGGGCTTCCCAGGCGTGTCTGTGTGGACACAGTCAACATGCAAGAGCAGTGGGTGGAGGGACAATCCTACTCCTCCTTACGTCCATCCCAGGCCCATGGAGGATTGGGAGGTGCAGAAAACTCTGCATCTGAGTAAATGAAATGACCCTGCCGAAGCCACAGGACAGGTGCATGTCAAAGGGAGGAAAGGCCGCAGTTCTTTCTGCCTCACACAGAACCTGTGGCACTTACTCAGAGACCTGCTGCTGCCCTCCCTCAGTCCTGGCCCCCCACCCCTGCCCCCGGCCACAGGTCCTCCTGGTGCACTGAGCTGGCGGCCCTTGCAGCCAGGCAGGGTCTGCTCTCATGGTCTCAATCCGCAGCTGCAAGACGCATTCCTCTGCACAAGCTTACTAAAACAAGGTGGGAATTAAGTTTTATATTAGCAACAGAGAGGGAAAAAAAAACCATAATTTCCCATGCTTCATGATTCAGAATAATTTAATAATTGTGTCATATGAGAAGGGTAAATAAAGAGAAGGGAAGGGGCGTGGGTAGATACGATCACCGAAGCATACACAGGTGCAAGGAAAAGCAAATTACCAGGTAGTGCTGGCAATAATAGCTGGGTGGGAAAGATTTTCCAAATGCTAACTTGACTCTTCTGTTGAGCCTTAAAGCCTCAGTGTCTACCAGGGTACTGTTCAACTCTTCTTGTTTTTATTTTTAGCAGATATACATCCTTCTGTCTCCAAAAACCAATTAAACGCCTTCCTGACCTCTAGTGGGAACCATCTTTAAGTAGTTCTCTACTACACTCTAACAGGACTACGATTTCATGCACAACACCCTGCGCCAGTGTGTCCTCATCAGAGCTGTCTTAAAAGGCACGGAAATGAACAAAGGCAGGCAGAACCCAAATAAAGTGTGGTTCTCGCCGGACACGGTTACTCGTTCTGTGGCCCTGGCTCTCAGCAAACATGGAGCTCTTGCATTGAAGATGAGCAGTTTGCTACTCTGGCCCAGGTCCCAAGATTTGCAAGAAAAGATAAAAGCCTAAGCCCGGGCCATAGCACAGACATCCCAGGGAAGTAGGCTGGGGCTGTAAATGTCCACGCTCCTCCCCCACGGTTTCCTGGTGTCTTCCTCCAGGCTAGTGAGCTAGGTGACTGTTTTGCTCTCTTTCATACTAAGATGCTCAGCTCTATCCTGAGTGAGCAGCGCTCCCGCATCTCAAGTACTCGGTCTTCCTGGCTCCACCTGGGCCCTCGCCGAGGCCCACCCTGGCCGCCAGCAGCCGCAGTGACTTACCGACAGTGCTTGTGGGATCCGGTCAGGGTCTCGATCACAAAGCACTCGCCGTCGTTGAGACAGTAGGCCAGGTCCTTGTCTCGGCAGGGCTTGAAGTGCTCGGATCGCTGCGTGGAATATGTGGTCGTATCTGCCAGGAGAGCACAGAGGGAAATGCCATCAGCAGTCGTGGTGACACCATTGTTCCTGTCACCGCTTCCCCAGTGCACATGCAGGCCTGTGCACGGGCTGTGACTGACAGACAGGATGGGAGACCAGTGGGACGGACCTTCCCTGGCACTGAGCATGCCCTGGTGACACCCACCGCATCGACCCCAGTGATCAGCACCCCTGCTTCCCACAGGTTCTGCACCCTGAAGTCAACCAACCATGGGCAGAAAAGGTCTGTCAGGGAAGAAACATGGAATCGCACCTCCTCACACACATTCTGACTCTCTGCCCTTGTTTCCTAACCTGCAGTGTAACACGCGGCTGTTTCCACCGCGTTGTACCAAGTGAGGGAGCCAGGTAACGAGATGGTGGAGACACACGGGTGAGGGCAGCTGTCACATGAACTCTGCACATGACCACAGGAGCCCCATGAGCTGCGGGTCAGTGCAACGTGGTCATCGGCAAGGGACCTCTCACTGCCTCCTCTCACTGGGCCTGGCGTGCCTGAGAGCCGCTCCAGAGAACCCCACTGGAGCACCCACAAACTCCTGATCTTCAGTCCCTCCGCCTCTAACAAACGATTCGGAAGAGTGAGGGGAACGGAGCCCTTCCTTCCTCTGGTGTCCAACCTCGCTAAACCTCAGAGCGGTGGACGCGGCCACTCCTCTCCTAACCCAGGCCGATCTGGGGTTCCTGTTTCAGTTACAGCTATAATTAGCTAATAGCTAAGTCAATTACTCTTTCTGTTTTTATTGTGTAATTAAAATGCAAATGTTCCAAATTCTGAAGCAGATACTCGTATGTGAAGAATGATTCTGGTAAATATTTAACAGGGTCAAATTAGTGTCATTTTTTAGCATTCTCCTAAACATGTATTTTTAAAATCATAATTACTTACATTGTTAATTAAGCGATACATCTCTATCTGCTTCTCAATTATGAATCTAGCCATATGCACCTGTGACCTACAGGAAATGGGCTGCCTTTCCTCACAGGGACATTTTCCCAGGGACAGAGTTGGAGTCAACTAAAGCAGTAATACCAATTTCACTGGAACGGTCAAGAAAAAAAATTATATATATATATATATATATATATATATATATATATGGTCAAGGACTGATAAATTTTCAGCATTTCCACTCTTCTGCTTTTCTTTTTAGAGATCTAAATAAAGCTCACAATGAGTTTGTCCCATTCACCGTTCACACTTGTTGAGGATTCCATAAAAAAAATCCACTGTCAAGGGCTGGGGCATCCCAGGGATATAGTGACACTAGGCACTGGCAAAGCCTTGGTTCCTTCTCCAGCTCCATCAAAAAGTGAACAAATAAAAATAAGTAAATGCTTACAGATATGGTAAAACATTCAAAGTCTCTACCATGAGAATGAAGTCAAAATCCTGAACCGAACAAAGAAAGGCACGGGCCTCTGTAACTCTGCTGTCTGGGTCTCCTCTGTTTGCACTCGAGACACACAACTTAACTCTCAACAAACGTCACCATCAGCCCGGCTGCTCCTTCTGGCCCACCCTCCTCCGCCACCCTTTGCTTTGCAGGAGGACACCCAGAAGTCCTCCACACTCAGATCAGGTCTCCATGGGGCCACAGAGCTTCTCCCTCACTCCCCACATCACACACTCCACACCCCAACCGTCTGCTCCCAAGATTGTGCATCAGAGCCAGAGCCTTCGGATTCACCCATCTCTCACCCAGGCGCGACTCCCTCTTACATAGCACAAGCATCGACAAAAAGACGACTTCTGGTGCCCTCTTTCATGGTGCTACAATGGGAACTTGTTTTTTCCATGTGGAAATCTCTGCCTAGTGATATCTGCACATGAAATAAAGGCTCCGCAGAACGGGCACACGCCCTACTTTTCCAGAAGATCCTTATGGTGAAGACTGCATGTCACAGGCAGCCGCAGGGAGCCCATCTCTTTCGCTATGGTAAGTGTTTGACATGCAGGGGCTTCCAGCAAAACATTCCACATGAAACGCTGCACCAGGCTGACCGCTTACATACTTTAATTCATGTCCACTCGGTTAACTTCTCCTATAATTCTTATTAGCCATTGATTGATACAGATCATCCCTCTAAGAACTTGCCACTGTCCTCATCCACAGCCTACTGTATATCAGTGGCTTTAACAGGCTGCACACTCCAAGTGCAATACAGTGGCCAAGCAACTACTATCAAACAGTCTCCACCTGACAGCTGCTGTATCCTGCCGTTAACGCCCCGTCCTGCCAACGCCTTTCCCACCCCGGCTTCATCTCTTAGTGGGTTACATAAGAGCCAGAACCAAGGAAAGGGCTCTGCAGAAGTCCTGGGTGGAAGGATAGGTACACTTGTAGAGGCTTACACATGCCTGGAACTCCTCCTAAACAGTTTACAAGAACGGATTACATAACGCATGACGAAACCAACAGCTACTATGAAGAAAACAGCCACTATGGTATCCCCTGCTGATTCCGTAGCATCATGCTGTGAAATCCAGAAATACTATTATTCTTTGTTCAGAGTAGTTTTAGTCTGTTTTGTATTATTCAATTTCAACACACATCAAGGTACGGACAGCTATTTTGAAGAAGAGACGCTATGGCAGCCATTGTTGATTTCCGTATTGTCTGGTTTTGAAGGCCTGTAATGCCTTCATCACTCTGTTCGATCAGTTTAATACTATTTTGTTTTATATGAATTCATTGTGTGTGAAGATATAGATAACTATTTAGAAGAAAACGAGATATTATGGTAGCCATTGTAGATCTCCTGTTGTCTTGCTTTGAAATCTGTGTCACTGACATTGTTTTGCTTCTGATCTGCTTTGTTCTCTTTTGTTATGTTTAGCTTTACCCTTTTTAAAATAACAATTAAAAAAAAGTCCTGGGTGGGACAGCAAAGACACAGGCGCCCGGATGTGCACTCAGATTGTCTATTTCCACAGCCTGGAGAATCCCGAACTCCTCGAAAGTGTGCGTGCTTACTTCTCACGATGCCGTAGCTGGTTTACTATTAAAATAACAATATAATAAACACAGGACCCTGGGTCTGCTCCTCCTGTAAGCAGATAAGCTGTGACTAGGTGGCAATCTGAAACACTAACATTTTCCTACATGTTTTAGTACATGGGATCCATCAGTAACACCCAAAGGAGAGAGGTTCGGGGTAAGGTGCGGGCGTCAGCATGTGAAGCTTCTGCCTGAAGCCGCGGTGTCAGAGGTGCACGGGGGAGGATGACAAAGGGAGTCGCAGGCTGCCGGATGAGCTACAAGCACGGCTACCGAGCCTTCCTCAGGTAAATGTCGGTGGTTATGTCTACACAGCGTGGGTCTGACTTCTAGTTACTTACAATCAAACACAACCTAACCAGGACACAGTGAAAATTCTGGATGACACTGCCCAACATGTGCTATCTATTTGTACGTACATGTACACGGCTGTGTTTAAATGTGTATGTTTAATTGTATTATATACATATGTATCACCTGTTCACATACTAAATAGAATATGAATAAAGGGAGAAAAAAGCAGATACAAGGTGCAATTCTTCATTTTCTTCCGTGCCATAAATTAGCACAGCATCCTGTAACAGATCCAGCTGAGTAATTTTTCTGAGGAGGAAACAAGAGACATTTATGAGACTGAGATAACAGCTCCAATCTAACTCCTGTTAAAGTTATAGCTCCAAACTTCCTTGTGATATCTCAGCAATAACTCTGATACAGAACTCTGAAAATATCCATCATTTTTGGAACCTGTTTATATTGCGGGGGGGTGAGACAGGGTCTTGCTATGTAGTTCAGGCTGGCCTTGAACTGACTGAAATCCTCCTGACTCAGCCTCCTGAGTGTTAAGATTATAGACATGGACCACTATGCCCAGCTTGGAACCTGTTTATATTTTTTAACAGCATACATTTTTCACAACATTAAGCTAGTTGTATAGTAAATGACATTATGCTATGTCCTAAAACAAACTTCCTTTTCTCAGAACGTAATTTGGTAACTTTATTACAGAATTACTTCAAAAATCATATGGAGGAAGGTCCAGGAGCATCAGTGGACCCGTGACTCCCTATCTGCCTCCCAGGGTTGTAGGGAGTGGCTCATACCCACCCCACACTTTCCCCCTGCACCAGTGGATGGGGCCCTGTACCCCTGGGGAGCACAGCAGACCTGCACAGCTGGGACTCAAGGTCTTAGGCACAGCTGGACACGGAGGTGCACAGCACAGATGGCACCGCAAAGCCATCTCTTTCCTTGGGACATTCTCCTAGAGGAGTTGTGCGTGCTTTTGTGACCTTTCTACAGGAAAAATAACCTGCCTTTTATCTTTTTAAAAACCTGGAAACTTGTTTGGAGGTGCATCAGAAGAATTTAGGTAAAGTATGTACTCACAGAAGATTACAGAAATAAAAATGAACACAGCTTCATGGAGGGCGAGGGGGAAGAAAACAAAACGAGGTGAAAACCGGAAATATTTCCAAGCAGCAGGAAACATGAGGGAAGGGAACATAGCCCGAGCGTGAACAGAGAGGTGGGCAGTGGGGCCGTCCACCCACCGAGAGCCTCTGGTGCAGGCTGGCCAGGTGAGGGGCGGGGCTGACAGCTCTCCACTGCGGCCACCCCTCATGTCACAGGTCACAGGCAGGGTAACGTGCTTCCTTAATGTTGATAGGTTTTCCTTCCTCTCCCCAGGGAGGTCATGGAGACTGCTTTCTTCTTAACTTTTGCATTCTTTCCGCTTCATGCGGCATACTAGTAAGCAATCAGCACAGTAATTAAATGTACAGAGGGAGGTGGTGATGTTGAATTCATTAAAGGCAAAAATGGGAAGGGAATGTAAGGCTGGAAGACACAAATCCCTGCAGATTTTGCAATAAGAGTTAATTTATTAATGAACGAAATGATAACTGGCTTGCCCAGTAATTACTGAGTGGAGCCTGAATGTCACTCATAGCGGGCTTCTGTATCGGGG